AGCTCTCCTGTTTTCAAGAACCTTACTTTGTAGTGAAAACATCCCCTCAGTGTACGACTGGGCACTTAAATGTTAGTCGTTTCTTTATTTCTGCAGTAAAAAGCCTGCTCTGATGAACTGGTGAATCTTGCTGAGGCAGGCAGGAGCACAGGACCGGCACTGGAGTCGGCTCAGGCCGAGCGTAGCTCTTCACCTGCAGTACTACATGTGGCTGTGGCCAGTGGGTAATAAGTGAATTAATAAGTAAAAGCAAATACTGGAGAGTTTTAAGAAGCACATCTTAGAGAAGTGATTATTTGCCTTTTAAACAAAGCTGTACTTTCTTTTCTTTCTTATGCTTCTCTGAGATGAAAGCCATGACGTGTAGGATCTCAGTTTTCTTCTGCTCTGAGCGAGACCATGCTAGTCAGAGGAGAACTTTTAAAATGAGGTTTAGGAGAAAATCCTTCAGGCTTCTTCTCACTAGCTTCTAGAAGAAAATGCTTTTTAACAGTAAAACTGTTAACACTTTTTCACAGTGAGTGGGATGTTTTTCTTTGGGAATTTTTATTAGGGTATTTTTTTAATGCAGATAGTAACTTTCAGTTGTTTATGAAACAAATTTGGCCTATGTGGTTGCCATCTTGCTCCGAAGGGATCTCTCTTCAGGAAAGATAGTCTGTTTAATAGTCTTTGATCCGCATTCTGCTTCACGCGCGGTCCCTTAAGTTAGAATGGTACTGTTTTTGATTTATGGATAAGACACATACCCCCAAAATACAAGCTTATATCCAGAAAAAGGCAACTTAATGTCTGGTGATCTAAATTTGAGATCTGTTGGAACATGGAAGGAAAGAGGATTTCAAGACCTAGCAAAAGCACGCTGCTTTTCAAGATTCGTGTCCCCAGAGTTGGGTGTAGTTGGCTGGTCCTGACTTATCTGTGACATTTAAGAGGTTTGAATTTCGGCTAGTATTGCCTGGGAGGGCTAGAGAGCATCAGTTTGTGGCCACTAATGGCTCAGGTTACAAAGAGCTATGTACTGTAGCAACTGAAATGTGCTGGAGATGGGCTTGGCCTCTGTATGGAATAATTTGCAGGTTCTTTACAGTGTTAGGTTAGTTCCTCGTTTCTATTTACAGTTGCTTATTCAGGTATTCTTATTTTTTTTTTTTCCCCCCCCTAAAGAATGGGTTCAGTGCCTCTAAAATCATCTAGAAATGGAGGGCCTGGGCAAATTCTCTCCAGTATTAAATTACCTTGGCTGAGGTGGAGGGGCGTACAGTCACTAATTTCGAAACACTTTTTCATAGTTTTGCCACAAAAAGGAGTTGCTAGGCTGGTTTCAGGAACATTTGTGATTCAAAGTGATGATCAATAAGGAGGATGTAGCAGGTAGTCTTTTGCAATGTGGTGCTCCCATTTAAGGCACTTGAGAGCCCCGACTTAATCGCTGATGCCTATAATGATACTATGATATACTGTTGTTTTATAGTTTTGTTGGAAGCCATTATGAAGAATGGAAGTACTGCTGGCGGAGGCGCTTTCTGCCGAAAACCAGCCAGTAGCAATGATCAAAGTAAGCCCAGTAGCACGAAGGAGAGCAATGCATCTGCTGCAGGTGAAAGTGGAAAAAGCTACACCAAAGACCAAATGGAAGGAGTATTCAGGTATGGCCTTGGTTAAATACATCACTGCTTTTCATTCTGTATATTATGTACTTGTGCTTTCAGCTCTAGCGTCTAAAGAAGCAACGGAAAATTCAAGCGTAGCTGAGAGGGGTTACTGGTACTGAACTGTGGCTAAAAGGAAGAGGGGACGTTTGCTGTGTTTAAACACAGTATGAGATGCTGTCACTTTGTGCAAGATGAGTATCATCTTTATGTAAAGTAACCTTGATGGTTTAGAAAGAAAATACTCAAAATAGTTATTAAGTAGATCTCATGGTAAATGGAAGAAGTGATGAAAGTTCTTTAGTACCTCCTGCAGGACAGTGTTTCTGTTGTTGAATATTTTTATACACAAATTATCTAAGTTTACATTATATGGTCATTCTTTGTTTTCAAGCTAATCTTGCTGTACAGGCTGGTCTTAAACCAGTGTTAAAACTACTTCATTCTAGAAGTACAGGTATCTGAGAAGCACTGAAGCACATATTCTGAGTTGCGTTATAAACTCTGTCTGGACTTCGTGCAGCATGATAGTATTGAGATGAGATGACATCAGGAAAGGAGGATGCACAAAAAGAAACAAAGATCAATAAAAATGTCCTTTTGAGGCGAGTAACTCTTAAGTCATGTTATATTACACACTTGTTGGCGGTAGGAGTGAGAAAAATATTGTTTGATATGCACCCTGGTCTCTGCTAAAGAAACATGGATACAGCTGCTCTAAAATTGCACACCTTAAAACCCACCTGTATTCTCAGATAAGCCTAGCCCAAATATTTTCAAGGAAGCTCAAAGAAGGGAAATTGAGGTCCTCGTCTCCTAGTTTGTGTAGATTGGATGAACTGTCGTACAAAACAGAAATTTGGGGGTGATTTTTTTTTTTTTGTTTGAAATATATGTTACCATTGATTATTATCTTGGGATCTTTTCCTGAGGATCAATAATCTTTTCAGCTGTGCTTACAGTAAGGAAAAAGTAGCTTTTTGTTATTGATACAGCAGCTCTGCATTCAGGCAGGTAGACAGTAGCATCTCTGGCATAGTTTTCCTCTTGGTGTTGCTGCTTAGTAGAGTTTTTCATTCACCATCGTCTCTGCTTGATTAATGTTATTGCCCTTCATGATCCATCTAAAATAAAACCTGAGTAAGTGTGTACGTTTTTGGCCACCTTGAAATATTAACTGTTAAAATGAATGCAAAATGTGTGTGTGTGTGCTCTCACGTGCATGTGAGACAAAATATCCAGAAAGAAGTCCTCTGTAAAATGGGGCTTAGATCAAATTAAGACATGTAACACGTTCTCAGAAAGCTGCTACAGGGAAGGCTGTATTACTGCCAGTGTTCACTCACCCGTGATGTGCCATTCTGAGCTGCAGTCTGCTTTGACATCAAGCTCCTTGCAAGTTCTTTTTTTTTGTTCATGTTTGTTTTACCAAAAAGTAACGTTACCTACTTTGTCTTGAGTAAAATGATTTTGTAGAGCCAACTTTTCCCCCTGGTATGCTTTCACAGTATTGAGTATTGCTTCCTTGAAGGGATTTACTAGGTAAATCAGGTAATTACTAGGTAAAACTACTGGACAAAATTAATCCAATTTGTTGAGATCAGAACCAGAATTAGGGGTATTCACGGAAGTTGCGCATTGAGGATAATCTTGATGCAACATTGCTTCTTAGTACCTATTTCAACAATCAGCTTTGTGAATATAAAATTTGAGTTTTCAAATAGTACCCAGATTTCGGAAATAAGCAATTGTAACAGCTTGCAGAACAACTCAAGTTTGTTTGTATTTTACGTAGCATTTAGAAAATCAACTGTTAAAACAGTATCTTGGCCTTAGCTTGAATGATGCTGCCATCCTTTAGTATAGCAGTTTATAAGCCTTTGGAACAAGGCTGAGTTTTGGTTTAGATGTGCAGTAATCCACAGAGCAAGTCCCCAGTTCTTGTTGGAAGTTTTGAAAAGTATGTCATCGTGTCAGTTAGCGACATCAACGTACCACTTCGAAAATTTGTGGTTAGGAATTAGAAAACGGGTGCGCCTTGCCAAGGAGAACAGGATTACATACAAACAGTGGGCTAAAACTTAATGGAAAAATAGAACACATTGAGTGATGACAGCTGAGTGAAAGTACATGTTTAAACCACAGGGAGAATGAGCATTCTAGTTGGAAAGATGACAGGCTGTGTATGTTATTGCTTCAGTCAGGCCCCAGACTTTTCCAATTAAATGAAACGTGCCCCTCTGGGGAGGGTATTCTTCAGAGACTAGAGCTTGTCACCACCATGTGCTTCTGCCATACCACAGTGGAATGGTTTTCAGACCTTTGAATTGGTTAAAGAAATGCTGCTTGAAGAGAAGTAGTTTTAAATATTGTTTCATGCCTGATTTTTAAGTTTATTTTTCCTGTGAGGAAAGAAATTTCTAGATAACAAGGTAGCAAAACTCTTCAATTTTTAATAAAATTTGAATCTTACCACGAATTTGACTCTGTCAAACTAAATTGTTTTGTATGTTTATGATTTGAAAGAAGGTTGTTATCCTCAAGCATCCTTCCCTCTAGGAGTTTTTGTTTCTGTATTACTAATTTGATATAGATTGAGCAAGAGCATTTCTGATTTAACGACACATGCCGTTTCCCACCCTTTTTTATAAGGACTAGTGAGCAGTCGGACAGGGGAACTGGCTCTGAGCTTTCTGACTTGGATCACTGATTAATGTTGCTGTAGTTGTCCAGCTATCTTGACTTTGTTTATGACCATAGACTTAAGCAGCATAGTGAAGACACATTTGGAGCAGTGTAACTAATTTAACCGCATACATTTTCATCAGGGTTACTCTAGTATGAGCACAAACAAGCACCTCAGTGCTGTTTTTGTTTTTTCCACGTACACAGGGGACGCCGATCACCAGCAAGCACCATAACACTTCTGCAGAGCATTACATGAGCTAGCAAACAAGTTGCTTGATAGAGAGAAGCATAAGATGCAATATCTTTCCACCGATTGCATAAGTGCTGGGTGGTGCTCTGTTCTTTGTGGGAACTTTGCTCACTATTTCAGTGTGGCAGTTTGGAGCTTGAGATGTCCAAAAGCACTTTGTTAGTTTTGAATTGAAGTGCTTTGAACATACCATCTGTATGTAGCACATGCATCTTTTTCTTAATGATGCTTATCTTTTCACCAAGGGCTGGATCGAGTTGCCTTAACACTTCAGGTGGCCTGCGTGTCACAGACACTGACAGGAGAGTAGCAGAAATATGGTAGGACCCACGGTGGACTTCTGTCTCTTTAGAGAAAGTGCCCTAGAAGCCTCTAGGCAATGGAATGCTGTTTGAGCAATGTCAACTTCAGAAAGTGCATGAGAATCATATGCATGACAAAGAAGGGAGAATGTGCTTTTGGATTCTGTGGGTTTTGCTTTAAAGCAATTCCTTCACTGTTAGACATAGGCTATTGGAGTTTTTTTTACTGAGACAAACGAAACATTTGTGTAAGAAAGAAAATTTAAACTTTTTTTTCTTCTAGTTCACTTAAAACAACTGAAGTGCTGATGGGGATTGCTGTTGTCAAAGAGTTCTTAATTACTTTGAAACAAATTCTGTTCATCATATCTGCCTTCTCCTACCAAGTGTGCAGACCTTTTAGAAAGGTTTTGTGAACTGGCATGAAATTAAAAAATAAAGGATCTGTTGCCTGCTCTGTATTAATCTTTCCCATTTCTTATTATGCTGTCAAGTGTGTATTATCTGTTATCTACTGCATGATTTTTTAAAAAATAGTTTTGGAGGTATAGATAGGTTGTACGCTTTCTACAGACCCCCTTCAGATGATCTTAAAATTTGTACGGTGTCTGATATCTTTTTAGTAAATAAGCCACAGCATAAATTCTGTATCACCTTTTTGACATCTGAAAGACGACTGCCATGATCAGTAGTGTGCTAGAGCTGGATTGCTGACTTGTGAAAATTGTAGTGCAATACTGCTTTTCCTGCCCTGCCAAGGCCTGCCCCTAGGAAGAGAACACAAGAATGAAATTTTGTGTTTGGGTCTTTGAGCTAGAACCAAACCAATGGAGGCATGAGGTCTGCAGGAACCTTGCAAGGCAGGATTAAATGTCATCCGGTAGTGGTCAAGAATAATCAGCAACTTGATTTGAATTCTTAGAGGAAACAAAAAAAAAAATGCCTCTACACGTTTCATGGATCAAACTAGAAGCAATGTAAGTTGTGTGACTGACTTTTTCCAGGCCTTCTGCAAATTCAGCAAAAAGATATAGTGTTAGTTTTTTAACATAGGGTCAAAAAGGTAATTAACTGAAAGTCGAATAACAAGAGCAATCAACAAGTGCTAAAATGGAGGGAAAAAAAAAAAACAGCAAAGAAATCAGGACATGCCTTTAATTAGGCTGCCAGAATTACTGTGAATTGTTGAAATATCCAGTTGAATGGTTGAAAAAAATCAAGGCAGAAATCACAGTCATAAAGCCCGTTGTGGAAAAGTGGCACAGAAAATACGGTGGACTTAGGGAGAAAGCTCCTGCTTTTAATCTACACTTTTTATACCCAAAATAAAACAAAACAAAATTTGGAGAAAAGTATGCTAATGTACACACAGCCTTGAATATGTCGTGTTATACACACAGGAGAAACAAACTGACCAGGTACACCCAAGAGCAAGGTACCAAGACCAGCACCTTAATGTGTTGTTGAATCTGTCAGTGAAACAGAGATCTGAAACTTCTGGTGCATTCCTTCCAGAAACTAGGAGTATGCTGAAATACCCAGTGTACTCAAACCTTCATGATTATGGGTCACTGCAGGTATTTGATACAGGAATGCAAGCATCTCCGATAGGTTTTGTTAACCTGATAAAAGCTGTTGATGCTGACCTAATCTGAATTGGAGATGTGAGAAGCGAAACAAGAAGCACAGCAATAGAATCACATTGTTTTGGAGTCACAGGAGAACCAGTGGTGGTAGTCCCAGAATTTCTGCAGGTGAGAGCAGACATTTCAGGGTGTGAAGGGCTTCCTCTGCCTTCCGCTGTCAGAGCGTGGAGAGGAGCCCAGCATCAGGCAGAACCGGCTGTTGCTGCAGTTGGAAGCTGGCTGACCGGTTCTGCTGCAGCTGGCCTGTGAGCTGGGATAGTGGAGCTTCTCAAGTCGCAACGAGATACCTCTGTCGACAGATTGTGGATGGACATAGGCCATCACGTGCCCTCATGCTGTTTGAGAAGTCTGTTCTCTAGTCAAATGTTCAGGAACATCCAGCAACGTGCCCTCCTAAGACAGCCAGCAAATCTGTTAACCAGAAGGACAGTGCCAAGGTGCTGGCAGGGGACTAACAATTCAGCAAGGACAGAAATTAGCTAAACAACAGAAATAATTTGATAGCAATTCAGGTACAGAAGTGATCCAACCAGGAATGAAGAACACAAGAAAAGCAATTCACAAAAAAACAAAACCCCAAACAAATTAACAGTGAAAGCACCAAACTTCAAATAACCCAGAAATAAACAACAACTATACAAAAAGGAAAGTCTATAAGCAAGTGATATGTAAATTGCAATTTTAAGAAGAAACATCTGTGTGGCATTGATGTATGCAAGGATATTGGCACTAGGGACTACAGTGCCTTAAGTGCAGGAAAACCAACCAAACAACGATTTGAAATGCAGCTTTCAGAAAGTTAGTTGTTCATGCTGAGTGCTGCAGGACACGAGTTTCAGATGTGGTTAAAAGCCGTAAGTAACATCGCTGATCAGTCTTTCCCAAAACCTCCACTGGTTTGCCCCTAGATTTTTCCCAGCCTCTGCTGGCTGATGCTGTGTGGCCTGAAATAGAAGACCAGTGGGAAGGGGATGGTTCCTTCTCTCCATCTGCCCTCCCATGATAGATCTCCACAGGACAGTTCAGCATCCAGGTGAGGGATTCTGGCAGAGTGAGGATTGTCTGATATCAGTCTACTAGAGACAAGGGTGAGGAACATGTCCAAAAAGGCCTGCTTAAGACGAGACAAGAATCAGAGGTTGGCCATGGCTTCCAACAGCTCCCAGCAGCTGGAGATTAATTTCTCATCAGGACAGTGGCAGTTTGGGGGAAGAGGACTTCAGCCTTGGACAGTCTTTGTGCTAAGCCCATGATCTCCATCTTTTCAAGGTGGAGGGAGGGATGTGGCGTGTCAGGCCCTGGTGGGGTGGGCTGTGTCCTCCCAACAGTGTTTGAGAGGCCTGGTGACTGCACAGCTCATGCACAACTCGAGGATCTGGTGGATTGTCCTGGTAATCCCGTACAGTTTGGCCTGCTATAAACTGAGTTCCCAGGTTGAGTTTGTGATGCTTTAAAGTTTTGCCTCTCGGGAGTGCACTGCCAACACTGATGATTTTGTTTAATTGGAAAGCACCTTCTAATCATCTTTGCTTGTCTCATCATCCTCAGCGCGAAGCTGCTGTAGTACAAGTTTTGGTGCAAAACTTGCATGGGCTTTGCTGAGGCGGGGAAAAAATGAGCAGTTACCCTGTAATGATTGCCCTGAACTGTGCTCAGCAAGGGACCTGCTGGCAGAAGTCACTAACGCCCTCCCTGTAGGAAACTTTGCGTTAACTAGGTGCTAGCTACTTACGTCCTGATGCTTTTTGCCTCGAAGTGGTAAAGTGGTGGTATGAAACTGTTGTCTAATGGCAGGGTGCAGTAAGGGGTTTGTAGCACAAGATCATTGCTGAGAATCCTAGGCTTAGGTGTGTTTTTTGGCCCCTGTGCGTTTGTTCAGTCTTTTTTTGTATTTTAGCTTTAAAGCTTGATCTGCCTAATCCGACATCCTGCTAAACTCTGCAAAATTGCCTTATATACCTGCGTGTTGCACATGGATCACCATGAAGTCACATGCAGCAGCGCTCCTCAGGCTATCTGGCAGAGTACTTGCAGCTCATGGTTGCTGCTGAGGTTTCCAAGAGCCAACACTGACCTCTTTGAGGTGTGAAGGTGACCATGGGCTATACAGTGAACAGGAGTTACGTATCTCAGCGTCGATCCCGTGCAGTGGAAAGGAGGGCGATGTAAATGATCTGGAGGATCGGTTACAGGTCTGTTGCAGGCAGAGTTGCTGTGACAAGAACACCCAAGGGAGAATGAAAGTCAGGGGTGGCCGTCACAAATTCACAAAGGCGGCTTTGTTTGAGACTGGCCGTTTAGCCTAGGGTAGCAGGTCAAGGTGTGAGGGTGATTTGATATAAGATGTGTTTGAAATATTAAATCATAGCTTTGTACAAAATCGGGAACGTTGGAATAGAGATGCTTGTGTACTTGTAGCATTTTTTGTTGAACAAAGCAATTGCTAGCAAAGACTTGGGAAGAGAAGGTAGAAATGTGTTATCCTTGGCTGAACGCTTTTTTCTTGATAAATAACAATAGCTCATTTGCAGACCAGGTTCAGGATAGCTGTTGCATGGAGGGTGATGACATTCATCTCTTTGGAGGGCAAGTGCTGTATGACCCACAAGGCAGGTTCCCCCTGCACTTTCTCATCAGAAAGTCACTCTGGTTTGGTGCACTGGTTCTAAGCACATCATGGTGTCAGAAGCTGGTCGGTCATGCGGTGACCTGAACATCATCTGATTGATACCCACCATTCCTACTTTTCCCATGAGGATAGCCAGCTGTGGGACTTTCACTGGTTGTGAATGGGAAAAAACTCTGGGGTGAGCTTTTGAGAGTTAGAAGAACAGATTGGCATTGGTTGTTCTTTTTTTTCCATTTTTCTCCTCTCTGCATCCTAGAGTAAAATAAATTATGAAATAAATGTATATCAGGTCTGCAAAGAAGTAAACTTTCATGTGTTTTTTTTTCTCCATGTTTGTTACTTCCATGAGAAATGACCATATGCTGTTGGGGAAAAAGCTTGTTGAGGATGCATGGTGCTTAAAAACACCTGAACAAAAGTTTTAACACACAGTTTTAATGCTAATAAAATAACAACTTTGCTAAACATTGATGACACACACCTAATTTTATATCAGCCAAAGTTCTGAAGAGTCTGGTCCACAAACAGATAATTCAGGTACTGAACTATTGAAGAGAGAAACTTAGATTGCTTCCTGAGATAGCAATTTCTTAAAATAAAAGCTTAATTTGTTGCTGTTAGGCTTTTAAATAAAGCTGCCTGTTCTTGATACAGTTCATAAGTAACCCAGGTCTTGAGGCTAAGGATTTTTTCTTATCCTACAAATTAACAAACAAAAGTTTCCAGTACTCAGAGTATCATTTAATGTTTTGGTTTTTTTTCCATTCATTCTTGATGATGGATTCACAGTGTTGTTTTTAGTTAGCTTTATCCGCTTCCTAACTGGAGCTTATTAAATGTCACTTCAATATAATGAGCTATATTTATTTCACGGGATGTTCGTGCTGGCAGCTGCCTGCATACATTCAATTCAGGGCTTTTGTGAGTGTTGCACCAAGACTTCCATAAAAGCTTGTGTTATTTGAACGGAGGAAAGGGGATCCCTCAAATGAAGCTTGATTTGATCAATCTGTGAACTTTGAAGGACCACACACGCCGAGGTGGTTGTACTTCTGATGCTAGCATTCCCTTAATTACAGGGTACCCATTCTTCTTTCATGGAAATGCCAAAGGCTTGCTTACCCCCTTTTTTTTTTCCACTTCACTGCCCCCGTATAGTCTTCGTGACACTAAACCCATATTTACTTAGAAATCCGTGCATTTAAGAGAATGTGGACACAGTTACAGCCACGTGAAGAGGCTCACATGAAGCTTGTAAAATATTTATGGATGTCATTTCCATTTCTTGCCCTCTTCTTTTGGTGTGCACCAAATGTCAGCGTGCCTCATTTCTGCAAGGCAAGTTTGCGATTCGGACTTATTTTTCTAAGTTTCAGAATTCTTACCCAGGTAACTTGGTTTGATTTTAAGGTGTATTTATTGGTTTGGTCAGGTCTTCCTGCCCACGTAAAATTAATGTGTTCTCTGTCCCCTCTAACTGCTCTTTCTCTCTTCTGAATATTGTAAAGCATACCAAATCATTACATCATTTCCAGATTTTGCTTTTCCTGTCTGGGTGAGACTGCCTACAGGAAGAATATTTCCGAGTTTTAAAAAATGCTACATTGAACATATGAGTTGAGCTGAATCCGGAATTGCTGGAGCTGTTATTGTTTCTTTGAATTGATATGAACACTTACAGAAAGTCTGTTAAGATCCAGGTACACTCCCAGCAGCAGAGGTATTCTCACATGCTTTATTTTCCTGAAAAGTCCTGAAAAAGGAAATCCTTGAATGGTGGTGTGACTTGACTTTTGTTTGGAGAAAGGGATGTTTGGTTTGGTTTATATCATACATACCAAAGTGCATTTGCTGTTGACAGTCAAAACAGGCCTTCCTACCCGCCAACTCTGTGAAGGAAATTTGGAATCTCCATTTTATGCATTATTAACAGCAATATTCATAGAACTGGGCATGAGGAAATGGTACAGTAATTGCAAACTGAAACCTTTTCTTGCAACTACAGTAGAAGTAGTAAAATAAATAAATATATTTAGTAAGTAATTTGGAGTACAACACACTATTGTGCTCAATAGTTTATTGCAAAAAAATGGCATTCTTTGTTTCTAGACTGGAATTCTTTTTGTATTTTATGTTGGAAGTGAGACATGTAATGTATTGCATCAGTGCAATGTATTACCTCATTGGCAGCTGTGTTCTAACATACCACTTTTACATCGTTTTGTTTACAACATTTTACTTCATTTTCTTTTGCAGTATAAAGAAATGTAAAAATTATTATGAAGTCCTTGGCGTGTCAAAGGATGCAGGTGAAGAAGACCTAAAGAAGGCTTATAGAAAACTTGCTTTGAAATTCCACCCAGACAAAAACCATGCACCTGGAGCAACAGAGGCTTTTAAAAGTAAAATTCCGTTTTTACTTAAAATTTCTTTTTGAAATCTGAACTTTGTCGGATTAGAAGAAATTCATCTGCATTGGTCACTTGTCTTTTTACAAAATTGTCAGTTTGGTGTTTGGCAGCTAATATTAAACTGACATTTTTATCCACAAAAATATTTTAAATTTATAATCTTAACATAAACTAGAAGTATAGATAAATAATGTGGACTTTTCAGAAGATTGACTGTAATTTTCAGGTACTTGATCTGTGAAACCCAATTGCACTTTTTTGCTGTTGTTGACTTAACGTAGTCAGTTGAATCTTACTGTCTTCGAACTTTACTTTACTTCAGCTTGAAACAAACCAAAATAATCCTTGATAGCAAAACACAGTTTTCACTGAATCACATGCCATGCTAAGTTACATTTTCCTTAGAATTCTTTGTATGTGTGTAGTTTTACTACTTTTTCCACACAAAAACTCTTGGGTTCAAACATATCCTTATTAATAGTTGCCTTTGACCATTTCTTAGGTAAAATTTACAATCTGACTTGACCCGATCTAAAGCTGCCAAGCCTTAGCCCTGCACAAGGAAAATTGTTGAGGAAAAGCTTTTTAAAGAAAACTACACCTTCATCTCAGACACAGATGAAGAAAAATGTGAATCTGTAAGAAATGCTCATGCATAAAGAAACAATCTGATTGTGGTACATCTTTTTTATATTTTTCCTGTGTGAGGTTTACGTGCAGACACTTGAAAAAATCAGTCGGACGAAACTCTTAAATGGGGGGAGGGCAAAAAAGAAAAAAAAAAAAAAAGAAAAAAAAAGAAGAAAGTCCTGAGCAAGACTTCTGATACAGACATTAAGGGGTAGTTATAATAATATATTAGCAATTCCAGATGAAAAGTAGATAGAACATAGCAGGAAAGTTGATTGCTTATTATTATTTCAATACAGCTGTGTGATGGCTTTATCTGAAAAAGATATTATTCTTATAAAATTGCCTCCGGTTGAATAATTCTTCTTTGTTAATAGCATTTTAAATAATCTTTAAAATGTTAGGAATCATTTTCTTATTATTTAATCTTTTATTTAACATTAGCACTTTGTACAAGTTTTATTTCTTTGGCTTAATTTCACTTTCTGTTTTTTAACTAGATGAGTAAATGAACAGAAAATTTGGTAGGGGAATCTCGTTGACTAAAAATTGTTTAATGAAATCTAGCGTATTTCTTGCATTGAAATTGTCATCATCTTTTTGTATGGCTGAGTAACTGTATGATTTAGTTTGCCTTTCAAGGTGTCTGAGTTTCTAACACCCAGCTGAGAAAAGGAGTTTCATAATAATAGCTATTATTTCATAATAATGCTTTATCTTAAGGAAAGGTCAGAGTAGAAAATAGAATTGAGTTTGGTGTTAGGCCAGGTGCTTACTTGGATCTCGAGCTACCCAGTACTGCTCTTCTGTTGTATTAAGCAGTCTCTTTGAGGTTATATTTTAGATTTAAAAGTTTTGTGCAAATATCACTTTTAATCTCTTGGAATCTCTTTTACCAACTTCTTCAAAAATCTTTCCTTTGAAACGTTCAAGCAGTTTTTTTAATTTTTGCATCCTTTATTTAAAGAAAATTATATTTGAATCAAATCTGTTGTGAATGAGCATCAAATAATCAAAAGCAAATAGTCGAAAAAGATTGCTGGTGTCTTCACTTTATGTGCAATCACCTGATTTATGTCTCCCTAAATTCTTAACTGTTGGGAAAATCTGAAATTTTTTTTTTTTTTTTTTTGAGATCAGTCCTCATGCTGAGTAACAGGAACCAGGTAGCAATATTTGGTGTCAGTAGTGAATATCATGCTTTCAGTGCAGATTACCAGGCTTCGTTTCTTTGGGTTTTCTCCTCCTCTTGAAGGAATTACTAATGATTATTTCTAATGGGATTCATTAACTTTTTTTTAGATTGGATAACGTTGAAAACATTAATTATGCAAAGCCATAGCCTTCTTTGCCTGTGTTGAGGTTATAGTGTTTCACCTTTCACGAAGTTTTGATGACTGATGGCTTTTCAGCACTGAAAAACGTAATCCCTGTGCCTCGTGTCCGTGGGCTGCAAAAGAAGTCTTTTGTTGGTGGGGCTTGGAGGAGAAGAAAGGAAAGGAAGAGAAGAAAGGAAAGTGGGAAGGGTTTAAAGAAGATATGACCGAGTGAAGATTGTTCATTGAGCGCCAACAGAAATTTTCCTTCAACCTACAAGAATTATATGTCTATACGCAGCAGCTAGGGTCAAAGCTTGTAAAGTCAGCGTGTGATCTTTCCACATTGGTTCTTGCCGTGCTCACCTATCTCAGTTTTTCCCTTCCCACTGTCAAAATTCAAATTGTTTGTTTGTGATCAAGCAGCGTGAATGGGGACGAGTGTCGAGGCCAGGCTCTCTGAACATGGAAGTTGTATTGACAACCTTGGGAACACAGGTGTTCCTGCCATGCACGCTTCATGTTACATCACACAAAACTTTGTTTTTAATATACTCCATAAAATACCTTAAGAAGCATGTAAAAAACCACATTCACACTCTTGTGGACAATAAAGTTGATGCATTCGAAGAAGACACCACTTATTAAATGAAAGCAAAGAAAACCTACTGAGTCTATGATGTTTTTAAGCTAGGCTGCTAGAGCAAACTGAATTTTGCAATCACCCAACTTCAAAGCTTTCATTGTAATGCTTGATGCTTTTTTTTTTTTTGTAATTGCGGAGGGAGAGAACATTTTCACAGGTGTAGGTGTTCCCCTAGAAAAAGGAGCAAAGCTCTTCTGCCTAGTTCAACGGGGTAAAAAGCCTTTGAATGGTGTTGGTGGGAAACTTTGTGGAAGCTGCTAAGAAAAGTCGAGATGTTTCTGGACCTTGTTCTACTATAGTTGATTTGTAACATGCAGTGAAGGACATGATTTGCTGCCTGTTCTTTGAATGTCAATTTTTGTGCTGGAATAGCTCTTGTCTTTCATTTATGGGAGTTGTCTTTTATTCATTGCTTCAGAAATTGGAAATGCATATGCTGTGCTGAGTAATCCAGAAAAACGAAAGCAGTATGACCTTACTGGCAGTGAAGAGCAAACGTGCACTCACCCTAGCAATGGTAGATTCAACTTCCATAGAGGCTGCGAAGCAGACATTACTCCAGAAGATCTATTCAACATGTTTTTTGGAGGGGCCTTTCCAACAGGTATTTGTACACAGGAGTATAATCATCAGGATACAGTGGTACTGCTCGGAGTGGCATTACAGTTTGTGACATTATAAAACAGTAGGATTACTCCAGCTTGTCTCCAACCCCAACTCTCTAATCTGCATCACAATTTACACTTCCCCTAAGTGTTGCTAAATCCCAAAAATGTGAGTTTAGTTCTCTAGGGTTACTATGGTGATTCTGCAGTATGTGAAATAACAGATCAGTTGTCTTAGAGCTTAAAATACTTGTTTTAAACAACTTTCAAATTGTAAGATATCTTAAAGTTGAGTTGGTTTATATGGCATTGTGCAGTGATGTTAAATCCTTTATGTCGTTGCTTCTGTAGTGACCTCCAAATAGTTATTTTACATGATGCAAATGTGGATGTTTCTTTCCTTAGGTAGTGTCCATTCATTTTCTAACGGTCGTGCTGGCTACAGTCATCCGAATCAGCACCGTCAGAGTGGACATGAGAGGGAGGAAGAGAGGGGTGATGTATGTTTAAGGACCGTTGACTTTAAACTGTGGATTGTGAAATTTTCTGGTAGTCGCTTTCAGTGATGTAGTTGTACAGGAGCTTTGTACTGTAGAGGAGGACTTACACTTGCCAGTTTCAGGTTTTAAAACTTTGGCAGGTGTTACACTTACTGATTGGTAAGTAGACGCTCAAATTTAAGAAGATAATAGCCTGGTTTTGTGAATCTGTTGTTCTGTGTCACTGCCTTACTGGTGACTGGTAGTATTAGCCTAAATATGCCATTAATTCTGGTCACTAATCTTTGTCTGCATTTAAAAAATTATTTGGGCTGAGGTAAGAATTGTACTTAAAGCTCAATGTTCATATCTATGAGTTATATCTAGTCCTGTGTAATTGCATATTAGTTTATAGATGAGACCAAATCATGGCGTACAATGTAACTGAATCCAGCTATTCGTTTGCTTGTGGCTACTCTTGCAGCTTAAGCATTCTATGAATATTGTTTATGCGTGGGAAAGTTAAGATAACATCACAGTGTTTGCAGGTTTGCAGTTACAGTTTTCCTAGGAGCTTTCGATGCTTAAAGCAGAAAGTCATACGTAGCATTAAATCTTGCCAAGTTTACCTCTTTACTTGATGCTGTTTATGAAATACCTGAATCTGTTTTGTTCCTTAGGGAGGTTTCTCTATGTTCATTCAGCTGATGCCTATTATTGTGTTGATCCTTGTCTCCTTGTTGAGCCAGTTGATGGTATCTAACCCTCCTTACGCCTTATACCCAAGATCGTAAGTAATGCTCAATTTCATTAGCTTAAACAGAAGGGAGAGTATTGTAATCCCTCTCTCACTTAGAAGCATTTTAGAGAGCCTTCCATTAGTTGTTCCTTGATTTCCCACAGTGAGGGGAGGGAGCAAAGGTATAGATGAAGCAGCTGTGAAGCAAAACAAAACTTGAAAGTTAGGCGCTAAGAACGTGCTGTTCGAACGCAATGGAGAAAAGAGGTCAGCAATACCTGGAGTTTAGGAGATCTAATACAAGACAGCGAGTCCACGCAATGTAGCACGTTGTAAAGATCTCTGACGTATTCAGTCAAATCCTGGAACCTGCTCAGGCTCTTTATTCTTGTATTGGTCGTCTGTGCTTGTAGCAAGTGACGTGCTTGTAAGCAACTTTCTCATCTTTATTTACGTTTTGAACTAGATGAGGGCTGAGGAGTTCAAGGCCAGGCTGGATGAGGCTTTGGGCAACCTGGTGTAGTGGAGGGTTTCCCTGCCCATGGCAGGGGGGTTGAAATTAGATGATCTTTGAGGTCCCTTCCAACTCAAACCATTCTATGATTCTATGAGGAAGTTGTCTATCCTTTGCTTCGTTCTAGATGATGGTAAAATAGCTTATCTCTCTTTTCTTGCAAAGAATTCTGATAGTGAAACTTACCTGTTTTGTATAGTAGGTTATACAAATCTTTTTACCTTGAGAGAAATAACTTTAATCAAGTGTGCAACTAGCTAGTAGGCTTAGCCCACTCGCTAGAACTGTTTTCAAGGTCCTTAGTTCCTTGCAGAGCTCTCAGCCTCACAACAGAAAGCTTTCTTTTCTCCTCTTATTTTTCAGTGTTATTTCCAGAGTGTGATGTTTTTTCCCTTCTGCAAGTAAGCTGTTGTGATGCTTATAAACACTCTACTGCCAAAACGTTTGCGCACAGTCTTTGATTTTTAATCTGCAGAATGCCAGCAGAAAAATGGATTTGTGAGGGCTGGCAGAAAACACTTTAGAATGGAGATGCCTGTGCTGGGTCGCTACAGAATAGTGGCTGGTTTTTCTGTTCAATTACCAAAGCTTATATTTGTCTAAAGAGGTGTGAAACAGGTGTCTTAAAGTGGGGTTTTTTTTTCAAGATCAAAGGTTTAAGCAGCAGGAGTTTAATGTGCAGGTAAATGTAGTAATTTTTTCCTCTGGCAGATTATACAGCCATTCATTTCGTTACTAGTCTTGAAATGGCAAAGTCAGTGATGTGCTGTTCTTCTGTAATAGCAGTGTTTTTTAACAGGTGTATTTGTAGTGTAAAAAAATCAAATATCTAGTATCTGTCTCCCCCCCCCTCCCCCTCCTTTTTTGCAGAAGTACAGGGCAGACCATAAAAATGCAAACAGAAAACTTGCGTGTTGTTTATTATGTCAACAAGGACTTTAGAAATGAATACAAAGGAGTGTCATTACAGAAAGTGGAAAAGAGTGTGGAAGAGGATTATGTGTCCAACATTCGGAATAACTGTTGGAAGGAGAGGCAACAAAGTAAGTTTGGTAATATGTGTAATCTCATGAAAGCATGCATTACTACACAAAAAGATTGCCTCAGGCTCGAGTGAAGTGCTTGTGTTACTAAAATATCTGAATGAGAAAGCAAGTGTAAGGTTCCCCGTGTCTCACTTCTAAAGGTGTCCCAGCTAGTGTCACTTAATTTCTGTGTTTTACTTGGCGACCTAGTGACCATTTGCAAATCATTAGCAATTTTTACCTGCTTCTCTAACATCCCTGACCACTTCTCAGAAAAGTAAAGTGGACAGTGAATTGATAACGAGAAAGAAGTTGCTCTAAGTTACGGATGAAAGCTAAAAGTTCTAATCTCTTCCACATTATTTTATTGTGGCAATGTCTCTCTTTTTTTTTTTTGTGCTTTTATATAAATAAATAAAACAAAAGCTTGCATAGGTGTTTCTGGAGAAGGAAAGAATAATCTGCCTTGGACCACAGTACAAACACACACTGCTTTTCCAGGCAACCAAGGACACACGGCATGTCATGTAGAACATCATAAGCTGTAAATCCGTGCTTGATCTTTTCCCAGTGCTGAATAATTTTTTTCCGTAGACTTGGTACCTTGGCTATGTCAGAGCTTAAAAACAGGGTTTATTTGGTTTACCATCTATTTTTCCAATCTCATTTAATATTATACAAGGAGCTGTTTTCTTGCAGGAGGCTGTAATTCAGTGCTAAAGCATAAGAGTACTGAACAGCATCGGCCATCTCCAAATCATCAGCAATTTTAACCTGTTATTACCTGTGACCGTTTCATGAGCCTGTCAGGCTCTGTGAGAACAGCGCTGCTAAAATGACAACAGTGTTGAAACCAGATGGTTTCAACTCTCCAGCTGATAAACTTCAGTAATATCCTACTGGATAAATAATTTGGTCATGAACTGTCAGTAAACCGACCGGAAGCAAAAGAATGCTCTTCTCCGAGTGATATTGTATGTTCCTGCACAACTTTTCCCTCTGCACTCCAGTGGTGCCAAGCCGTTCAGCTGAGATGGCCCCTTAGTTTCTCCCAGTTGTACAAGACAGCCCAGCATCACAGCTAGTCAGATGCCTGAACAGGACTGCCCACGTTCATCACAGCTGGCCTGTACATACACAAATACAAACACAAACTGCATTGCCCATGTAGAGCAGGACCAGTGCTTCCTGGAGGTGTTTTGTTCCCTGTTCATGAGTACGTGTTGCTTACCATCTCTAAGCAATTCTCTACAGTTTTACAGAAAACTCTGCTGATGGCTCACATGTATGCGAGAGAAACACCAGTGCTTTGGGGGAAAACTCTCAGATTATTGCCCAGACTACTAGATATGATTAGAATAATTTTTTTCCAGATTTTTCAAATAGAGGAAAGCATCGGAGAACCTTTGGGTGTAATTCATATGCAAATGTAAAACACTCTAGTATTTTTCCAACTAGGTTGTCCTTTGATCATCTTGAAATGTTTGACTACGTTCGCTCTTCATGAAATGAACACCTAATTTTTCATCTACAAGTGGTTGCTAAATGAATTATTAGTAATCTTATAATAAAATAGTTTACAAACGTGGTAGATGGTTGTTAACAAAATATTAAAGACAAAATATAATCCAGCGCAATAAAAAGATGACATATTATTTGTACATTTTTTCAGCAGAGTGTAGATTTGGAAGGATAGTTTGCTTTTATTGACCTAGTCATTACACTTAGATTTACCAGCATGTTATATTTGTGTCTCCTGTAATACACTTACTGTCTAAATATCTTTGAAAACGTTTAGTTGATATGCAGTTTCCACCTGGGGAGGG